TATATTGTCTCCTCTTGCAGTACATTATCAATACACTGGTGCTAAATGTTTCTGACTAACCAGAGTCACACATGACTCCGCACATAAATGACAGGAATGTGAACGGAAGTTAACTAACTTGCGGTGAAGGAGAAACTCACGGGGAAAATGGCAGACAGTTTGGACAGCGGGGGGAAAGAAATCAGAGAAGCACTGTCATCTTTCAAGTCAAATGTTCAGGCCCTCTTTGGCATTTAAAACACAGATGGGATACACAACGTCTATACAAATGCAAGAAGTGTCCTGTGAAAGTAAACAGGTGTTATTCTTACAATCATACTCATTAGACCTCACACTGTTCATGGTTAAGATATGTACGATGTGATGCTCTCACATGCCTTTTTGTTTACTTTGCCTCTCCTCCTGTTGCACCTGCTTTTCCTGTTTCAGTCTCCCTGAGGTTGCTGAGGTGAGACTGGATGACAGGTTGGAGTGTGGAGAATGCTCAAGAACAGGGCAGAGGTTGTACATTTTTCAATTTGGTTCACTGCAGTGCGCTTAGCTCTGTAAGAGTAAGTCTTTAAAAAAAGATGGTAAAGTTCAAAGTTTTTTTTTAAAGAATGAAAAGTATAGCCTACAGTAATTCAGGTTCAATGTTAAAGCCCACCAGCTAAAACTGACTGTTCCATCCCACTGAACTGGTTTTAAGTCTAGCAGAGATCCCAAACTTTCCAAAGATACAAATATGTCTGGATTACAGGGATTTTTCCGAGCTGATGTAATGATGCCGGGATAATAAAGAGCATCTTTGGTTTGAAAAGTTCACCATATTACAAGTGGTTTGATTGAAGCGTTGGACAAAGCAGAGACAGTGTGGAAAAATATGGTTTCTTTCAGCTTGCTTAAGGGGAAATTTTAGGGAAGATCATAGGTTAAGGGATTATTGTGATCCTACAGATAATCTGACATCGCTAGTTACTGGAGGAAAACACAGTGAAAACACAGGCCTGGGCTGAAATGTAACGGTTGCCATGGTTACAGACATTATTTACCTCCTCATGAGATCGAGTGCGAGGGGAAAATGAACATGAGGAGGAGCTGCAGGAGTTTCTGGGTTGTAGACAGATGATTTTATCCAGACAGGACCACAAGTGGTCACATTCATGTCTTGGGTGACATGTGGGAACAGGAGGAGGAGGAGGAGGAAGAGGAAGAGGAGGAGGAAGAGGAAAGGGCTGCGAGACCTGTGCACTACAAACTGTAACAGGAAGAAATAGTAAAAGTACTTAGCAGGAGGGAAACAGGTGGTGAAGTAGTTCTTCGCTGTTAGTAAACAGACAAACAATGCACTTGAGCGTGTGATATTTTTAGTGACCGGACAGTGTTACACCCTTTGATGCATTAGGTCCAACAAAATACATCTGCAGACTTTACAGCAGTGGTGGAAAAATATCCAAATCTTTTTCTTAAGTAAAAGTTGCATTACCGCATTATAAAAATACTTTATTACACATAAAAGTCTGCATGATTTTTTTTTTTACTTAAGTAAAAGTCTTAGCAACAGAACATACTTCAAGTTTCAAAAGTAAAAGTACTCAAAATGCAAAGTGGCTACTGTCGGTGTTATATCTGATCATTATAAGTGATGTATCAATATCCTCCTGAGACCTGAACTTTTGTTTCGTATGCATTTTTAATTTCTCCTAGCTAATTGGGACCAATAGGACCTGATAAATATAAAAAACTAAACATTGTCGACAATAATAAAGTCCCAGTATCCTCAAATGAGACGATAATAAAGTCCCAGTATCCTCAAATGAGACGATAATAAAGAAAATAAAAAAAATAAAAGAAAATAAAATTCCAAAGTCAAACGAGTACTTCCTAATTACAGTTTCTTAGCTTGTTACTGTTGTTTGTTAACAAGTTTCAACTATAAAATGTGATCAGGTTTTGGACCTTGTCCACTTTTGTGTCAGGATCGGCTGCAGACTGACTTGTCAGAGATGGCAGCCATCTTGTTTTTACATGAATTAGTGTATTGTGGTCTTACTACCACCAGATGGCACAAAAAGTGTCCAAGAATGAGGACAACAGGTCTAAGTTAAGAAGACTGAAGTAGGGCTGCAACGATTAGTCGACTAATCGACTATTAAAATAATCAGTGACTATTTTAGTCGTCAACTCATTGGTTTGAGTCATTTTTCATAGAAAAGTACTTTAAAAGTACCCCAAAACACTCTTATTGCAGTTTCTTACGTTCAGATATTGGCAGCTTTACACACTGTGTTTGTAAAATCTGAATTTGTAAAGTAATATTAGCTCTTAAAAATATGTAGTGAAGTGTAAAGTAGAATATTTCCCAACTGGTCAAGCCATAAGGTCCAGATTTCTCCTTAGTGATTAGTTCAAGGTCCACACAGTTTAATACATTCAGTGTCATACTTTCATTTGGCCATGTTGTCAAGCTAGTTTGCTGTCTCTGTCCAGTAGCTGTCAGTTAGTTACTCACCAGTTGGGACCACTACTCTAAAAAGTAGTCACCGACAGGAACAATCAAACATGGTGAGTAATGCTAGTGTAGCAGCTAACACTACAGCACACCTCTTGGTTGAACGAAGCCAGGAACTGTTTTTATTTACAACGACATGGACATGTATGTCCACGTAGCTTTGCTGAAACAGCAAATTTAGGAGGATGACACTATTACTTGGAACTGAAGTAAACAATGTCCAGCATTTTAGCAAGATTAAGCCCTCTTGAGGAATGGCTAGAAACATACAAGGTGTATAACTGAATTTGTTTAACTGTAGTAGTTGTGGCAGTAAATTTAGATTTACAAAATGTTATTTGAAAGTAATACACAAGCAAAAATACTAAATCTCACTGAATCCAAGTTTTAATCATATTAAACCGCAGCTGAATTTTATCATTCTTATCATGTTTAAGAATAAAAAGGAAAACGCTGGAGGTGGATTTACAGCATGCAGTCTTGTGTTAAGCAGACTTCCCCTGAACTGTCCGAGGAAAAAAAGGAGTTTGATAAGTTACACTCAGATACAGTTTTTTAAGTTGTATCCAGACCGTACTAGACGTTTTGAAAACTCTTGAAGCAGCGTGGAGCCAGGGAAGCCTTCGAAGGTGTGTTTTCATATGAAAGTAAACACATATTAAGAACTTTTACAGACGTCTGAAATGTTAAGTCTTGTTACTCATGAATGTTATTCATTGAGATTATAAGGACTTGAGTGATGTCTCACTGTGTCAGCACCATAATCACGTAGTAAACTCCCTGGGGATTTCTGATGTCTGATTTTCACCAACAGTTGTGTCACTGTTAGTTCTGGGATACACTTGAATCTGTTTAAATGCGAGCACAAACAAGGCGTGCCCTGAGTCGCAGGATGACTCATCCTGTGTTCTATAATTTACTCACTTTGAATTTTAATCTAATAAACTGCTGAATTAATCAGCTTATATATCTTTTCTAGGTCAGGCTTTGTTTATCTGGGGAGACAACAAGAATATTTCTCTATGAGATGGTCACAGATGGAGAGTCTTGGTAAAGTACATAAAGCAGCGTGAGCTGGCAGATGTGCATGTGGTTCCTGAGGTGAAGGTCTCAGCCGCGACACCACCTGCGGGCAGCCACAGAAAGTCCTTTAAGAACGTCTCTGATGTGGAATTACCTTCTAAAGTTTGTCTGGGAGAGTGGCCAGTGTACCGTAACGTCTGCTGGACCCACACCGCCATCCATCACCGCCATCCCTCCGACACAGCTGTGACCACGGAAACTGTTGCCACAGCGATAGACAGCCCAGCCCTACGAGTGCACCAGGACTGACATCATTTCCCAGTGAATGAAATTACCCCATATGGGGGTTAATGTGACCAGCGCGTGGACAGAAGAACCCACACATACAGCTGCAGTGACTGTTTGAATTATTTGGCAGAGGATTAATGTATAAAAAATAACGTATGAGCCAAAACAATTTGTCTGAATTAAACCAGGTCTGTAACCACCTAGAGGTCTGAGGAGGAACTGCATGTGGAATCAGGAGGCAATTTGTATTAGATTAGTATCTTTATCAATCCAGATAGTTTGACTGGATTATTTTGAATTTACTCTCTGCATAATATTTACACTTCATAAAAAACTAAACAAAATTCTGAGCTAAAAGTGACTTCATTTGGCACTAACAGAAACACGTGGTTGGAGGCCTGTTTGAGGCACTAACACAAACTACAAACCTGTTTCAGAAGGGCTGCCCCCCGACTAAAAATTTTCCTAGTCGACCATCATTTAGGTCCATTAGTCGGCTAGTCTCCTGCATGTTTCTGATATGAATATAATGATTAAATGATATATTTTGGTGGTTTGAGTTGAAGGTGTGAGAAAGAATAGTATCAGTAACATTGTTAACACTGTGCTACATTACAGAGAAATACAAAACCGTACTAAGGAACCTTCATTAATATAGGCCTATATTTTATCTACAAGTGCACGTCACACACT